ATTCATACAATTGCTTCAATTATATGTTCAAAAGAGGGTATCAACAAAAATGATCGTGGCTTGTAACTTGGTTAATTGAAAGAAAAGGCTAAAACTCAAACTTGGCGCACTAAGGGTCTATGTAAAAGGTAGGCTTCCAAGAAAAAGGGTAAAAACAAAGGGCTAATCCTAATACCCTTATTAAGATATCGTGCATCCAAATTCATCAAAGGTAAAAAAAGACGTGCATACCAAAGCAAGTTCTAGAAAAACCGACAAGTCATGACAACACACAATCAAAGAAAAGGTGCATGATATTCAATACATGCTCATAGGCTCAAATCTCACCAAAAATAAGGTAATATGTGTCGAATCACATGCATTCGTCTGTCAATTAATCATCAAGAGTAATCAATCACCAAGTAGCAACAAGAACTCCAAAATCATTTTCACGTGCAAATAAAATGACGTGCAAATAAAATCAATTTTTCACTGGATTGGCACCAAACGAATCGAGAATAACCACAAGAAAAACAATGAAATAAGACTTAATACCTAAAGTAATAAATAATCTAGGAAAAACATCTCAACAATATTACTGACGACCAAAGATAGATATACAAGGATACGCTAAACCAAACAACGCAAATGACACCCCACTCCACACTTAAAAATAGACATTGTCCTCTATGGCACCAACTCAATGCTCAAGCAAAATATAAAAAATAAGCACAAGAGAAGTAGAAAACTCCCCTGATGGTAGAGCATCTGGTTGCATTTTTCAACGATTCGAGCATTGTATGCAGCCGTGGAACTTCATTTATTTGGGCTGAAACTCTGGTGAGTGACTGGTTGAAGTCGTTTTCTTTAGACCCTCGATATGTCGGCTCGGAAGGTTAGACACACAGATGAACAACAAGCCTCAGAAGTTTGGACTCCCGGCTAATAAATAGTAGCGGCAACCAGATAGAAATGGTGGTTCTGGGTTTCAGCCACCAAACTGATCATCGTGGGCGGCCATGGCTCGAAAATAGCGTGAAGATGCAGAGAACAAGGTTCGCCGAGGTGTGACTTCGAAAGCGGACGCGGTGGTCGGCAGCGGACGGTCTGTTATACGCGGTGATCTGAAGTCGTGAACCTGAACAGAGGAGGCGGCGGCCGGACTTGCAGACGCGATTTAATGATGGTTCGCTGGAAAAATTCAGGTCTGGACGGGTGGAATAGTAATGCCTATTCAGCCCATGAATCAATGCCTGCAATGGGTTCAGCTCCACAACAATCAGACATTGTAGGGAAACACTTTGAATTAAAGCAGCTGAACTTGAAAATACCTGTGTAGAAGGGTTGTTAAGATGCCCCAGGTTGGATGTCGTTGTCTTGGCTCTTGACCGAGCATCATGGTTTGGGGGTTTATAAGACGAAAGGCGTCTATCACGACCTTACCTTTAACACTCTGGATTGGATCAACCACCACTACTACCGCTCTCTGATTCAAAGCTTCAAAACTCTGCATGATAAGATACATGCAATTCAGTTTAGTAACTGATTAAACTAGTCATGGTAAATAAGGAAACGAACTACTGATAGCACTTTTTGTATCAGCAATTCTCAGTCACATAATCCCGTTAATTGAACAAATATCGGCCTGAAGTTGGGATGAGAACTCCCATGTGGACACAAAATAAAAAATAAAAAAAGATTATATAGTTAAAACACAAACAAAGAGTGTTGTATAAATATTGCCAAAATTTAATCAACCATATTTTGAACAAGACATAATGGAGGAGTAATAAACTGCTAAGTATTAATGTCGACACCAGAAAGCCAGCATCCAAAACCAGGATGTACGTGGTACCAACCAACCACCATCTCAGGTCTGTTACAGAAAACAGAACATGATAAACTTGGTCATTTTCAGAGGCTTTATTTCTATTAATGGTTAAAAAAATCAATGCATAGATAATCTAAAAAGTAACAGTTGATAGATGGGGCTGAAAATGATGCAGCCTAACTTCTGATAAGAAGCAAAGCCCTCTATATTCTGAAGCAGAGATTACAGTCATTCAAAAAATGTACTAATTAATAACAAAAGCAAAGATCGAAATCTAAGTAATAAGTATCTGGCACAGCGAAAGTGGACATAGATGTAAAGTGACAAAAATGAAAACTGACTAAATGAGAAAAAGACAACAATTACCATTTGAAGAACATTCATATACTAAGTATATATGGCCTGACATCTTGATGAACAGCATAAACTTTTCCAAACAAGAATTACAAGAGGAGACCTTTCCTCCTATAAATTGACCAAAAAAGATTAACTAACCGACTGATAAACAGAAAAGACATAACCAAGAACCAATCAAAATAGTCCTAAATCTATTCAA